TATATATATAAATGTGATCTCTCCTTATGTAATAATTATATAGGTCATTTCAGTGCCGAAGATTAAAAGTGCTACTAGAATGTAATACACAGAAAAGAAGGAGGAGAGATGAGGATAACAGATAGTTGATAATAAAGAAAATGCATACCACAGGAGAGCACCTGCCAACCACCCACAAAACGTAATCAAATCGACAGACAAGCTTGTTGTGGTTGTTGTTGGTGTTGTTATTATTGATGATGTTATTAATATCACGGATGTTGTTGTTGCTACTGATGCCATTATAGAGCCTGTTATTGACGTTGTTATTGATGTTGTTGGATTATTATTGACGTTGTTATCAAACCGATGTTGCTGTTATTGTAACTGGCTGCTATTTACAGTCACGTGGCATGAACCCCACGACCAGTATCCTCATGAAACACAAAATACTTCTCAATACAAACAGACATAGTCTTTTCACACACACACACACACACACACACACACACACACACACACACACACACACACACACACACACACACAGTGCAAAACTAATTGGGCTAACCAATTAAAAAGACCAGTTCCAATCATGCATCACTGATTCCGTGGAGAGAGAGAGAGTCACCATAAAAATGTATTCATTCATTCTTATATTACAGGAGGTGTAATAAGAACATAGCCAATTAAGCTTGAATACAGCGGATGCTTTGAAAGAGAATATAGGCCTTTGTAACAGCTCATTAAAGAGTAGGGGTCAAGCCATCAGTTCATTCAGTATAGTGGCAGCCTCTAGACACAAAATGTGATATTCCCAAACTCAGATTATTCGGGCAGTTTTCAAGATTTTCCACCAACACAGCTCAGTCCACTCAGAAAACAATAGGTTAATGCGGAACTCCAATCTCTTGTAAGCAGCATAATTACAGAGCGATAAAACACACCCTCAAAGAACTTTTCCACTAAATATTTTAAATAAGAGTTTCTTCAAATAACTTACCTGTAAGAACTTTGTGATGGCCAACTTGTTCTGTGCGTCGCTGAGATAGTCAAACAGGTGGTAGTCGATGTCATGAAGGTCAAACATGACTTCTCTGTGGGGACCAATGAAAATAAAAGTGAGGGTAACAACACAAAGGATGGGATGATAGAATGTGAGAGACATCACAAGGAAATGTTATCAGAGTCAGTAGGCTGAGTGAGAATTTCCAATTTCAGATCAGAATGTACGGCACTGTGTACCGGAACACCGATAGCCTAGCTCCAAGCTTGCTCAAATTCACTGTTATATCAAGTTTGGCCAAATGTTTTCTAAGCTAACAACCAGCTAAATGACTGAACTTTATTTTATTCCAAGCTGAATTAACAAACATAACGTCACTGGAAAGGAAACGAATAATAACATTACAGACTATGGTTTGAAAATACACACACAAAAAAAAAATCACAACCAAAGAAAATGAATATTCTGTGCAATTCTTTGGCTGTTTTTCATTCCTGTTTTCAAATGTTTGAGAATCTTTAGGTAAACGTATAGTTCAAAACTGTTTATTCCGATATTATAATTCAAAATTTACGACCAGATTTGATCATTTTTAACAGTTTGAGGAAATGATCAGCACTAACTCTACTATTTATAATCATAATAATGTATTCAACATTGCCCATCTTTGCCCATCTTATAGTTTTCCATTCGTAAAAACAAAAAATGCTCAGTAACCTTTAGGATTCAGATGTAAAAAAAAAAATTGCAAAATAACCATGAGTAGGCCAGATGCCTTGACCCTCGCTACCCCTACCCCCTCAGGTATGAATGTGAGTCAGACCAAAACTTTGTTTTCATCTTTATATTCTGCTTCAATCAATTTTACTTTCTCTTCTTCAATTATATCTGCACACCCCATCCACACTTCTCTCTCTGTCCCCCCCCCCCCGCCCGTGTCCCCAGTTGTTTATCTATAAAGGCGGCGTGGAAAGGAACTGGCCCCCCCCCCAACTTCTCTCTGATCTTACACACACACACACACAACACACACCATACGCACATTCAGCAAATACAAAAGGAGACCTCCTAATTGGTTTCATACCCTACTATTCTAGATGTCAAAATAAAAATAAAGTAACACTCATCCAAGAAGAAAGGAGACACACGAGCTCTTTAAGATTTAAGGTTCAAACGGCAGATTAATACTCACCCATCTGCTTGACCATAGATGTTCCTGTGAAAGTTCTGGTTAGAAAACCCTCCGACATCCTCGCTGCCCCAAGAACCCAGGGTCCGCGAACTGGTAGGTCTTGGCCAAATATCATTTCGATTTCTTACGAGCACACATGTTGGACGTCCCCCTGGTTTAACTGGGGACTTTCTATCTAACGACTTATTCAAGTTCAGCGTAGAAAATGCTCTGATGCTCAGAGCCGGCCATGAGGATCTACGTACCAACCATTGGTGTTTGGGAAGAAGACTTTGCCACTGTTTGGACCGATAAACTCTACTGCAGACGAGACGATGGCCAAAGGCCGAATGCATTCCACTGCCGACGAAAAACAACAAGCTGTCCCAAGCGAGAAAAAAAAAGGAACTGTTTGAAGTGGGAGAAGTGGAAGCAGTTCCCAAATATTTTCACTATCAATCAATGAATTTTAGACAAACAATTATTAATCGTCTCCTCCGGTAAGCGAAATCAAAACTGGCAAACACTTGACTGTTGAGAAGCAGAAGTATAGGCCTAGATCTAGAGATCTAGATTCTAGATCTAGATTCTATATCATATCCTGAAACTGCTCAATCCGTTATAAACAGTGTATGGATGGATTGTAGCGGACACTCCTTGATTTGAGATAAGTCGGAAGTAAACTAGTCTAGTCGAAAATACCTTCACCACACCACAGGAGATCAAGTTCAATGTCAGTTGAAGCGATATGGATCACTCTTTTTCTGCTACTGTTCAACACACTGCTGCTTTGTTGTTGCGACTCTAGATCTTTCTGTTGTAGGGGCTTCGTGTTCGTGCTATTGCCAGTCACAGAAATTTGACCTCGAAATTTTGCCCGGCTCGATTTTCTTGTTTACATGATGCAAGACGCCATCTTTTTGTATTCGATTATAGAAATGAATGACAAGACAGTCCATTCATTTTGTTGTTTCAAGTTCTTTTGTTTATAGTTTGAAAGTTCATCGACTTTTTTACATTTGAAAACAAGTGCTGAGATAATGTTTTCTTTTTTACGGCTTCCAGAGTGCAGAAATAACGTTACAAAACAACAAATCGAGCATTAATTACATAGTCGACTTTAGTATCGAAATGTGATTTTTGCATCCAGACAAGTCCGGTTACACATTTTTGTGATATCAAGTCCTCTTTTGATTGGTCGACCCGAACACACCCCCAAAGCGATAGCCAAAATTAGAAGTCGGATTATTCACGTGGAGGTAAGTGTGGCGGTAACACCGGGTCAACACAGAACCGAAGCAGTTGTCAGTCTGCCAACTCCCCAGGCGGCTTCAGGGAGAATAATAATAATGATATTACAAATGTAGATCTACCAGTAAATAATAATAAGAAGAGAACAGGTAATTATGATGAATAATAATACCAATAATAATGATAATAATTAATAATAATAATAATAGCAAACTATAATGTAGGCCTCTTGATTTCGTTTTACAGCGGGGTGCTCTGTTTTGTTTGTTGTTTGGGGAGGGGTTGTTGTTGTTGCTGATGTTATTTTGTTTGTTTGTTTTTTCACTGTGAAAGCATTGGCTGTTGTTTTATTTTTGTTGTTGTTGTTTTGTTTTGGGTTGTTGTTTGTTGTTGGGTTTTTTTGGGGGGAGAGAAAAAAAAGCCTAAACATTATCTAGGGACAGAATCCACGATGTTAAATAGAACATGATCAATTTAAAGCAGCCCAGCTAGTACTATCCTACTTTTCTTACGGGTTTCTCTTCAAACTTTGGCACAATCGAAACTAGTTCTATACTCTACATACAAGCGCGAACACGAGCACACACACACACACACACACACACACACAC